TCAGCAGTTTCTGAAATACTCAGACCAGCCTGTCTGGCACCAACAACCATGCCATGTTCAAAGTCACTTAAATCCCCTTTCTTCCCCATTCTGATGCTCGGTTTGAACTGCAGCAGATCGTCTTGACCATGTCTACATGCCTAAATGCATTGAGTTGCTGCCATGTGATTGGCTGATTAGAAATTTGTGTTAAGGAACAGTTGGACAGGTGTACCTAATAAAGTGGCTGGTGAGTATATATCAACATACAATTTCTGTATTTTTACAATACCAATGAAGAAAACATACTACTACTTATAACTACTACTACTACTAACAACAACAATAATAATAATAATAATAATAATAATAATGAGGATGATGATGATGATATCAATATATAAACAAACAAATTGATAAATAAGTGAATAATGAATTAACCAATAATAAAAACATGATAAACAATAACTTGATAAATAAATAATTAGTAAGAGTAATAATAAGAGTAATAATAATAATAATAATAATATCAATAATAATAAATAAATAAATAGCTAAATAAATGACAAAACGAATAAACAGTTATAAAAAATAAATAAATAATTTAATGATTAAAAATAAATAATAATAATGATCATTTTAAAACAAACTAACATACATGCCCATTTTTACAATGCCAATAAAGCATTTATAATAACAATAATAATAAATAAACAAATAAAATAAATAAATAATTAATTATATAACATTATATAATAATAATAATAATAATAATAATAATAATAATTACATTGCTAAAATAATTAATAATAAATTAAACAATATTAAAACAATAGCTAAAAATAAATTAATAATAATAATAAATAAAAAAACAAGTAAATTAAATGAATAAATAATTAATTGTATAACTTATATAATTCTAATAATAATAATAATACAATTGCTCAAAATAATGAATAATAAATTAAACAATAATAAAAGAATAGCTAAAAATAAAATAATAATAATAAATAAACAATTAAATTAAATGAATAAATAATTAATCATATAACTTTTATAATAATAATAAAATTGCTCAAAATAATTAATTATAAATTAAACAATAATAAAACAATAGCTAAAAATAAATTAATAATAATAAATAAACAATTAAATTAAATGAATAAAGAATTAATTTTATAACTTCTATAATAATAATAATATTTATTATTATTATTATTATTAAATTGCAAAAATAATGAATAATAAATTAAACAATAATTAAACAATAGCTAAAAATGAATTAATAATAATAATATTAATAATAATAAATAAATTAATTAATTAAAAGAAAAAATAACTAATTATATAACTTTTATAAAAATAATAATAATAATAATAGTTATTATTATTATTAAATTGCAAACATTATGAATAATAAATTAAACATTAATAAAACAATTGCTAAAAATAAATGAATAATAATAATAATAAATAAATAAAAAAATAAATTAAATGAATAAATAATTAATTTTATAACCTATAGAATAATAATAATTATTATTATTATTAAATTGCTAAAAATTATAAATAATAAATTAAACAATAATAAAACAATAGCTAAAATAAATTAATAATAATAATAATAATAAATAAACAAATAAATTAAATGAATAAATAATTAATTATATAACTTATATAATAATAATTATATATATAATTATTAAATTATTATTATTATTAAATTGCTAAAAATAATGAATAACAAATTAAACAATAATAAAACAATAACTAAAAAATAGCTAAATAAACAAATAATAAATTAAAGAATAATAAAAAACGTAAAAAATGAATTGATAAATGAATAATAATAATAATAATAATAATAATAATAATAAACAATTATGACATGTCAAAACTCAAATTAGTGCTCAACATATATTTGCTCATCTTATTGTAATATACTTTCAGATTTCCTGGGATTTAAAAACCACTTAGCAATCATCCAAAACACTCAAGCAGCCTTTAGAGCAGCCAGACAGATGCATTTTTGCATTTAGTTTAAGACCTAAACACAGGATAGTGTGCTAAAGCAGGACAGTGTGTATGGGAGAGTATGTGTGTGTGACTTTAACAATAATGACAGTAATAACGAGCGCTGAATCCTCCTCCGCACCAGAACAGTGTTTGGCTCTTTTGCTCTTCTTGGTGAGTATCAACACACACACACACACACACACACACACACACACACACACACACTTTACCAGCACTGCAATTTGATGCAAACCTGCGTGGCTTCTGTTTGTCAGATGGAAGCGCTCAGAGGCTCTGCAAATGTGTGAAGTGAAAGGAGAAAACGCTGCTAGGAAGGACTTTTAAATCTCAAAGGAAGCTCCGACTCGCTCTGCATCTCACTTTTAGTGATGCTGAAGTCTTTAAGAGCGTTTCTGGCACTCAAACAGGATTAAACACATGCCTGTTATAAAGATGTGTTTTTAAGGACACGTCAAGAAGTAAAAAAGATGGGGAATTGCATCAGGAAAACAACTGAAATTATGAGCTGGGGTTTGTAGTGTACTCGCTTTTTGCCTTATATTTTTATTATAGTGACATATAGACTTAAGCTGCGTCTCAAATGGCACACTATGCACTCGTGCACTATGTACTTATGCACTTACACACTCAACAGCATAGTATATGTATGTAGTGTCGTCCCAAATGGAGCACTAATGTTTTTTTACTAAGCAGAAATTCAAACCGTTTTCCTGACATGCCATGAGTATAACCACATTCACCACCAGGAGGCACTATAATCACTCTTGTGGAAGAATTTCGCTTTCATCATGCAAAATAAATAGTTATCCAACATGTGCGCCCGATAGCTCCGCCCCTTCTGCTACGTAGGCAAACCTGCGGTCGTTGAGTGCGTGAAATGTCGAATAGTTCGGACTGCTGAGCGAATCATTGGTACAACCCTCCCAACTCTTCAGGAACTGTACTTATCCAGAGCGAGCAGAAGGGCTGCCAGAGTCACTCTGGACCCCTCGCACCCAGCACACTGCCTCTTTGAACTTTTACCTTCTGGTTGATGCTACAGAGCACTGAGCCCGACACAGAAACAGTTTCTTCCCCCAGGCAATCCATCTCATGAACATTTGATGATAATAATTGTGAAACAAACATCACTACTTGCTGTACACTTTTTATACACTTATTTAACAACACACTTTACATGCCAATTTAACCATAACAGCTGCACATATAACGCTGTATATAGTAATATAGCTGTACATACACTTGTCTATTTGTATATTTGCATTCACTACTTACTTCTATTTTTAAATATATTTAGGGACCGAGCACCAAACTGTGCAAGGCCCTATTTGATTTGCTCCGTTTCTTATTATTATTCTGGCAAAATGACTCGACAGCGCCACCTATAAAAATTAGACGGACAGGCCCCTGAGCTACGAATCACGCACATGCACTAAAATTGGCACACACCTCAAACAGGCCAAAACCTACGAAAAAGTCTCTTGGAGCGGAATCTCAAACCTAACAAGAAGTCGGATATTTTTAACTTCCTCCGGTGAAAAAGTGGCGTTTTTGACATTTGTAGGCGTTATATTTTAACAAACTCCTAGGGATTTTATTGGATCAACACCAAAATTGGCTTTTGTCATCTAAAGGCCTTGGTGATGTTAAATTGAGAAGATCTAGAGTTTTCGCAGAGGGACATGTCCTTGGTGGCAAGACAACGCTTCGTCATGGATCAGGAAGTCCTTATAACTCAACCACACACTGGCTGTTTCTCAATATGCGTTCTTTAGCGGCCTTGCGTTCTCGTGCAACGTCATCATCAGCTGCCTAAGTTCAGTTCCAATACTCAAGACCGCAAGTACGGAGGACGCGTGAAACTTCCCGGATTTGTTCTTGATATCGAGGACGCACTGATGCAGACTTGAGCACCGAACTCGCTCTGGAAGTCCCAGAAGTCATTGCGACTGGAGGTGGGAAGCGCAGCATTTTATTTTGATTTATTATTAAAGTTCAGAGATATGATTTATTTACCTCAGGAGTTTCCCTAAATGAAACGGTGAAAGTAAACATTAACAGGAACATCTTAATAAAGGAATAAACACATTAAGGGTGTTTGTTTGCTGAAATTCGTATTAAAATCTGTTTTATTTATATTGTGCAGGGTATATTTATAATGCTTTTATGCAAAGTATATATTTTGAAAAGGGGGGCATCAATAAATCGTTGTATGAGTGCTGTAATGTTTAAATAATTTCCATTTAAAACGCGTAAAGGTCATGTGACCATCAGGAAGAACGCAGCATCTCATTTCTCAAAGGACGCGTTCTCTGCCCTCGCGGTCTCCTGAGTTCGTTCTTCCGAGGACACCTGGCAAGACCGCTCTCCACAAGAACGCAAATCCATTCCCTGCATTCTTGGAATTGAGAAACAGCCACTGTCTGATCAGCCTGAAACTTCAAATGATGGATAAAAGTCCTCTCCTGAACACATCTACATGCCAATATTGAGACACAGTCATAGCGCCACCTGCTGACAGATGGTAGTTTGGCTTATAACTCAACCACACAAAGTCCGATTTGCCTGAAACTTCACATGGTTGATTATAATCCTCCTAAAGACATCTACATGCCAATTTTGAGTCAGTCATAGCGCCACCTGCTGGCAGGAGGAAGTTTGGCATAAATTTGTTATTTTTCTCAGGTTGTTTATATATATCGGCTTAAATTAATGTTGTTCTCTCTTCTCTGTCATCCTGAGGCCACCGGGAGGCGGTGAGCCCGGGTGCGAGGTCCCTATCATCGCTGCTTGCAGCTTTAATTATGATCTGTTTTTTGTCCTGTCTCTGTCATTCTGTTGCACTGTAGAAGCTCTGTCACAAATTCCTCGTACATGCGAACATACCTGGCAATAAAGCTTTTTCTGATTCTGATTAAAATAAAGTGTGACTTACTCTATGAAATGTTTTTTGCATGATCTCATTTCTTTTTTTCTGTCTTCAGGTGATCACGGATCTGGAGGAGCAGTTGACGCAGCTCACGCAAGAAAACGCGGAGCTGAACCGGCAGAACTTCTACCTGTCCAAACAGCTGGACGAGGCCACAGACGAGAACGAGGAGCGCCTGCAGCTCAAGCAGGACGTGGAGCGCCTCAGGAGAGAGGTGGCAGACCGAGAGATGCACCTCAACAACCAGAAACAGGTGACACGGCAACACACACACACACACACACACACACACACACACAGGACAGAGGTGGCAGACCGAGAGATGCACCTCAACAACCAGAAACAGGTGACATGGCAACACACGCACACACATGCAGATACATAAACGCATACGCACACACAAACACACTCACAAACATACACAGGACGCATACACAGATACACACACAAACAAACACACATAAACATACACATACATGCACAGCAAGTATGAATGCACGCATGCACACACACACACACACACAATAATGTACACATGCAGTCACACAAACACACACACGCATGCACACATTCACACACATGCAGATACATGAACACATACACACACACACACACACACACACTCACAGGACACATACACAGATACACACACGAACAAACACTCATAAACATACACACAGCCTGCACGCATGCGCACACACACACACAAATATGTGTGTGTTCTGTGTGTGGTGATGTGAGTAGGTGTGTGTATGTGTGTGTGGTGATGCTTGTATTTGTACTGATGCATGTGTGTGTGTGTGTTTGTGCGATCGCTGTGTGATTGTTTGTGTGTACAGTGATGTATGTGTTTATTTTGTCTGTGTGTGTGTGTGTGTATACAGTGATGTGTGTGTTGATGCATGTATGTGTGCTGATGCATATGTGTCTGTGATATCTTTATAAGTGTGTGTGTGTGTGTGTGTGTACAGGGATGTATGCGTCTCTTTGTCTCGTGCATGTGTGTGTGGTCTCTGTGTATGTGTGTGTGGTGATGCATGCGCGTGGGCTGCGTGTGTGTGTGTGTAGGTGTTCAGTGCAGGTTGTTGTGTAACAGTAGCTGCTGGTAATCATAGACTGTGGTAGGAGGCAGTGATGTGTCATCTCCACTGCTGCTCCTCTGCCCTGCTAGCGTTGGACTTCACACACACACACACACACACACACACACACACACACTCACACGTCTGCTATATTTGGAGACTCCTGCTTTCTTTCGCTCCCGTGTCTTTTCTAAATATCCAGTCCTGCCACATCTGCTGGATACGGGACATCTGGTGACCCGTCAGCTCTCAGAGAATCAATACCGGATCCGCACCTGAAAGATAGAGGGCCCTATTATAAACCCGACGCAATAAGGCGCAAGATGTGTATGGCGTGATTTGTTGCTATTTTCAGACCAGTGCTACTGTAATTTTCACATTTTGTGCCACATTGTTAAAATGGCAAGTACATTTGTGCCTCTTTTGGCTCGTTTCCACTGACTGGTACGGTTCAGGTCAGTTCGGGTCACCTTAATCAGGCTTGCGTTTCCACTACTAAGGGTATCCTTTTGGTGGTATAGGACAGAAAGTTTCAGTTGACGTCATTTTCGCTTTTTTTCAAGTCAGCAGGCTTCAGGGCACTGTTAACGTAGGGCTTCCTATGTGTGCACGCAGAACATCGAGACGCTGAAGACGACATGTACAATGCTGGAGGAGCAGGTTATGGAGCTGGAGACTCTGAATGATGAGCTGATGGAGAAGGAGAGGCAGTGGGAGAACTGGAGATCTGCTCTGGACGAGGAGAAAAACCAGGCCGAGCGCAGAGCCAGAGACCTGCAAAGACAGCTGGACAGCGAGAAGCAGAACCGGTACAGCACAACACACACACTCACAGACAGAGTCCAGTCCTGGCCGTCAGAGCAGGTCTAAATTACTGAACTATGGTAATCATGAGTCTGTGTGAGCATAGAAAAATAAATCACACACGTAAACAAACAAAAACACACACATACATGCAGAGTCCAGTTCTGGCTGTCAGTGGAGGCTCTTCAAACTAGTTCAGAACAATTGTTAGACGCAAACACTGTTTAGAACAGTTGCAAATATATATTTATGTGAATGTTGGACATTATACGTGGACAAAATAAGATATTAGGTTTGCTAAAGCAGTTTGTTTTCCAAACGTCTACAGGGCCTGAAGTGCCTGTAGTTATATAAGCGTTATGTAATGAGCGATAAGTATAGAGACAGAAACACTGAGGTAAGAGCTGTACTGCGCTGTTCCAGCACTTTATTGTTTGATAACTCTTTCTCTCTGCTTTTTTCAGACTGCGTGCAGAACAGAGAAACTCTGAGTCTCGGCAGGCCGTGGAGCTGGCGGTGAAAGAGCACAAAGCTGAAATCCTGGTTCTGCAGCAGGCGCTCAAAGACCAGAAACTCAAGGCTGAGGGCCTTTCTGACACTGTGAGTGTGGAGAGAAACATCTGCTTAAAGGGCCCCAGTGGGGTATATGGGGATATATATGTGTATATATATGTATTATACCCTGTTGAAACAGATCAATTTTTAGATCAGAGGGAATTGTAGATGTTTTTGCGCCTGTGCCTTTAAAGAAGGATAACTAAAGTCAGGATTTAACACATGCAGCAAAAAAAAAAAAAAAAAAAAAAAAACAGAAAGTAACTTTTGATGAAACAGAGACCCAGAGTCACAGATAGCACAGTAAGATGAGTGAGCCACATACTGTATAAATGGCATTACAACATTCACACGTAAAGCTGTTTTTGCTCATTTACCCAAGACAAATGTGACTGGTTACCCAGCAAATGGGTACATATACTGCTTTAGAAATTGTATAGCGAGGTTACTGTACAAAATCTAATTTAACGTCCACAAAGCCGGACTCCTGCTGTGTGATTGAAGCATCGTCGTTTACATTTAGCCATTTAGCAGACGCTTTTATCCAAAGCTACTTATAAATGAGGACAAGGATGCAATTTACACAACTATAAGAGCAACAATGAATAAGTGCTGTAGGCAAGTTTTTTGAGTACAGTTAGTGCTGGAGCCAGAGAGGCAATTGCAGATTAGGAAGGAATGTGGAGACTGAATAGTTGAGTTTTTAGTTGCTTTTTGAAGACAGCGAGTGACTCTGCTGTTCTGATGCAGTTAGGGAGTTCATTCCACCAACTGGGCAGATTGAATGCGAGAGTTCGGGAAAGTGATTTCTTCCCTCTTTGGGATGGAACCACGAGGCGACGTTCATTCACAGAACGCAAGTTTCTGGAGGGCACATAAATCTGCAGAAGTGAGAGCAGATAAGAAGGAGCAAAGCCAGAAGTCGCTTTGTCAGCAAACATCAGAGCTTTGAATTTGATGCGAGCAGCAACTGGCAGCCAGTGCAAACGGATGAGCAGCGGAGTGACATGTGCTCTTTTAGGTTTATTAAAGACCACTCGTGCTGCTGCGTTCTGGAGCATCTGAAGAGGATTGATAGAGTTAGCTGGAAGCCCGGCTAGTAGAGTTGCAATAATCCAGTCTGGAGAGAACAAGAGCTTGAACAAGGAGTTGAGCTGCATGTTCAGATAAGAAGGGTCGGACCTTTCTGATGTTATAGAGTGCGAATCTGCACGATCGAGCAGTTCTAGTTTATAGTTGTGTACATGATGGTGATTCCAGTGGTTGTAAATTACATAGCTCAAAATGTATAGTTTAAAATGCTTTGAAAAATGTAGCACTTGCTGCTTCTTGAAGTGCAGTTTGATCACAGAGAGTTGGAACAGATCTTTTATTCGCAGTTTCATTATAATGTATTTATGATTATAATCATGTCATCATGAGTATAATCAGTTAATTCCCAATTGCAAATTCTGTCTTGTGGACATGATTATACTCATTAATACTGAGACATGTTAATACGCAGCTGTCAATTCAATATCGGTGGGTGAAAAAAATCTCACTGCTACAGTTCGTCAAGTTGCAGTGGGCCTCAAGATCATCAAAAAACATCTGATATAAAGCTCCAATATAACTGTGAACAAAATAATCTTGTTTTTCGATTTGTGATAAGATTATTTTGCTTACCCCATTGGCAGATTATTTTGCTTGATTTAAGGAAAAACTCGCTTCATTTTGGGATATTATTTCTTAAAACAAGACTATATGTTTTGCTTGTCTAGAAAATGCTTCTTGATTTGAGAACTTTTAGATATTTGGACTAGAAACAAGACAAAAGATCTAAGTAAGAAAAGCTTTTTTTGCACTGTTCAAAGAGTAAATTTATTGATTTGAACTTTTTAGATACAAACGCGTACATGCACAATATTTGACTTATTTAAAAAAAAAGATAATAATTTATGCAGTCATGCACAAGTTTTGATCACTAATATCCTGGTGATTGATACCTTTACCAATATCAAAATGCTTTTTTAATGCAAAATTAATTTATACAGTTATTCCTTACACCGATTAAAAAACTTGATCAGGCCTATAGGCCACTAAAATAAAAATAAAAAAATCTTCTCTAAATGTAGAACTAAAAACATTGATATGCATTGAAATACATGATGAATACTCTTGACACATGAAAGTGTAAAGCCTGCAGCTGTGGTAAATTTTTGACTTATCAATTAGAAATTATCAGACCAGAGGTTTTGAATATCAGAAAATAGACTTTATTCTCCATAATAAAACCGAGAAAGAACAGAGCAGACCCCAGAGCATTCTGAAGTCTCTCCTGGACACCTTCTGAAGTCTCTCCTGCACCTTCTGAAGTATCTGTGTTTGTTACAATTTTTATACAGGATTATTTGACACACCCCTAAGTCTCTTTTTAACTCTTGACCATTTTTGAATAGGTTTTCTAGTCTAAGGGGTCCTGCTATTCTTGGCTCTCAGCCCACTAGCTCATGTCAGCAGAGATGTTACAGGTCTATGTCAGCAAAGTATAGATGCAACTTATGCAAAAGGATTAAGTGTTTACATACATTGTCATGAAAGCATAATCACTTGATAATATGTTACTCATTCTAACTTCTGACACATAGCTTCATAGAAGTATTTAACATATATAATCAGTGCTTTACATATTCAGTTATTCTACACAATCAGTCACTCAGCCTTCTCCTAGTGTTGCTTCTGTGCAGGCACTCTCATCTTACACAGACATATCACTGTATTTTTAACACAGGCTGGCATGTTTGCTGCAAACACTACATACATTTTGAGAAGAGAAAATTAACTGCTTTACACTTAGAAAATACTTCACACTGAGAGAATAGAAATCTTCTTCACAGCATATTCAACAAACCGTTTACTGTTTATGTGATGTAACTTGCTAACATGGATAATTGAATATTAATCAGATGATGTCATTACACTGCTGTGCCGTCAGCCAATCGTTGCACTGCTGATCATGATTAGAGGATCGATAGATCAGTCCTTCACAACACACGCAATGATCTCAGATCAGTTCATCCAGACATTTTAATCAGATTCACGAACTTGTTTGAAGAACCAAATCAGCCAGAGATCAGTTATCAAGATGAACAGATCCAGGATCTGCCAAATCATCTTAATCATTTAAGCAAAGTATGAAGAACGAACTCATGGACACAATTGCACCAGTCGCCAGTGTGTATATCAGAGACAGCACTATTTTGGATTTTTAAAAAAAGTAGCTTGTATTTTGGCACACTTTTTAAAGTTTTGCTTTCCAGCAAATTAACACATTTATCTTTCAAAAAGTGTTCAAACGTATTGAACTTTAATGATGTGTTGTTGATGCAGTAAATGTTAATGTCCGATGTATATTGATTGTATCGATCAGCTGGGTGATCTGGAGAAGAAGCACGGCATGCTGGAGATGAACGCTCGCAGCCTGCAGCAGAAGCTGGAGACGGAGAGAGAGATGAAGCAGAGACTCATGGACGAGGTGCTTCACTTTATCAGCACTCAAAACTAGACATATGCCCACATTCAGTCATTTAATATGTCGTGATGATGAATATGCACAATATAGATCCTGTGGGCACTTCAAAATACCTTGAAGAATAACTATTTATTATCGAAAATCTCATGCACCAAGTTAATGATGTAGGAGCAGTTCAGGTGACCTATCAGCCTGAATAAACATACACTACCTGACAAAAGTCTTGTCGTTGATCCCAGTTTTAAAAGCAGCAAATAATAACTTGACTTCTAGTTAATCATTTGGAAAAGTGGTAGAAGTAGATTTTTCTGATGAATCATCTGTTGAACTGCAGCACAATCATCACTAATACTGCAGAAGACCTACGGGAACCCACATGTAGTTAAGATTCTCACAGTAATCAGTCAAGTTTGGTGAAGGAAAAGTCATGGTTTGTGGTTATATTCAGTATGGGGGTGTGCAAGAGATCTGCAGAGTGGATTGTAACATCAACAGCCTGAGATATCAAGACATTTGTGCTGCCCGTTACATTACAAACCACAGGAGAGGGCAAATTCTCCAGCAGGATAGCGCTCCTTCTCATGCCTTCGACATCAAAGCTCCTGAAAGTAAAGAAGGTCAAGGTACTCCAGGATTGGCCAGCCCAGTCACCAAACATGAACATTGTTGAGCATGTCTGGGGTAAAATGAAGGAGGAGGCAATTAAAGATGAATCCAAAGAATCTTGATGAACTCTGGGATTTTGAGTCATTGCAGAGATGTATGGATGCAGTCCTCCAAGCTCATGGAAGTCATACATAATATTCATTCTGTTTCAAATGCAGCATGACTTATTCTATACTGGACATTATCTCTGTTCAATGACAAGACTTTTGTCTAAGCAAAGTCAGACTTTACTGTCCTAATTAAATAATTTTAAATCAAGACATGATCATATTTTATTGTGGTAAAATAAGCGTAATCTAGAGGCCTTTGCCTTTCGTAAAAGCCACTTCTGAGACCAAATGATCAACTAGAAGTCGAGTTATTATTTGTTGTTCCTAAAACTTGGGATAGGCGACAAGACTTTTGTCAGGTGGTGTATGGTTTTACGACAGAACTTTGTATTCACAGTGTGTGTGCCTGTGTGTGTTTCTCAGCAAGCTAAACTGCAGCAGCAGCTGGACATGCAGAAGAGCCACATCTTCAGACTGACTCAAGGACTGCAGGATGCGCTGGACCAGACCGACCTGCTGAAGACCGAGCGCACAGACCTGGAGTACCAGCTGGAAAACATACAGGTTAGCAGCAGAAGAGTGTTTAGGACTGATAATGCATTCACAATGACTACATATATTGTTTTATAACACGGTCAAAAATAAAACCTTAAAGGGATAAGTTCACCCCAAAATGAAAATGCACTCACTGTTTATTCAGCCTCAGGTGCTTTCAACCCTTTAAGAGCTTCTTTATTCTGTTGAACACTAAAGGAGATAATTTGAAGAAAGCTAAAAACCGGTAACCATTGACTTGCATTGTAGGGAAATCAAATACTATGGAAGTCAATGGGGACAGGTTACAGAATAAAGAAGCCCATAAAGGATTGCAATGTGAAAGGAGAGTAAATGATGACAAAAGCTTTAAACTTTCCATTAATGAATGATGAAATGAAAAAATTTGAATCTTAACAATTATATATCTTGGAAAAGAGTTTATTTAATGGATCATCTAAGGCTATGGAAAAAATGAACATTTACTTTTACATTTAGTCATTTAGCAGACGCTTTTATCCAAAGCGACTTACAAATGAAGACAAGGAAGCAATTTACAACTATAAGAGCAACAATGAGTGAGTGCTACAGGCAAGTTTCAGGTTAATTAAAGTGCAAAAAGTGTAAATCTTTCGTTTTTGTCTTGTTTTTATACTAAATATCTATAATTATTAAATCAAGAAGCAGTTTCTTGACAAGAAAGACATTGTTGTTTTAAGAAATAATATTGTTTCGCTTAAAACAAACTAAATTATCTACCAAGGAGGTCATTTCAAACTGAAAAGAAGTGGCAGATTATTGTTTTAAAGAAAAAGTCACAAAAGTTTTACATTTTAGTTCTATAATTGACTTATTATATGTTATAATTGATCTGTCATATTGAGAGAGTGATCTTGTTTATCACTTATTATTTCACTCACTTCCAAAACTGCTTATCGATTGGTTTAAAATAACAGTATTTTTATTTCCAGATATGATAACTGCCTGTGACATAAACAGGATAAACAGGCAACACTGAACTGACATCACTGGCGCATAACACCCACTGCATACAGGCTATTTTTTAGAAAGAATTGTATTTGCTGCACAGTATCACAGTATGTCAGTAATACTAAAATAACAGATGCAGCAGTTTTTTTCTATTTTCTATTTTTACATTTTTTTTAAAATATGTTGCTATTCCAGGAATAGGCATGCACAAGGTAGCTAAATATTTAATGTTAATAGTAACTAACCTAATTAATTAAAATAATGTACATTTTAAATAAGATTATATTGCATGTCAAAGTACATTTTACACTAAATATATGTGCATAATATTGTATATAATAATTTTAATTATATTTTTGGAATTGATGAATTCTTTTAAATAATATACATTTGATTTATTTTTAACTCAAAACCTTTGACAATTTGACAGTTAACCTAATAAAAAATGTGGAAAATGCTCAATTCTATACCATATAATGTTGAATGTGTTCTGTATGCACTCAATGTTCCCTTCACAGGCGGCGTATTCTCACGAGAAGGTGAAGATGGAGGGGACGATCACCCAGCAGACCAAGCTCATAGACTTCCTGCAGGCCAAGGTAGAGCACCCCTCTAAGAAGAAAAAGGTCAGAGTCATCTGTAAATTCACTTCACTAACTAATCTGACTAACTGCTTGCTGAGCTGCGCATTAGCTGTCCCTCCAGTTACATATGCAAATAACCATATACTAACTGCGTCAACCAATCAGCCCCAACCAATCTGAATGCTTGTACTGTATCCGTTTAACCTTTCAGCCAATCAAAAATCTTTTATCTGTCCAGCAGTTCAGCTAATTAAAACCACTGATATCTTTCCAGTTTTTCAGCCAATCAGAACACTTTCATCGGTCCAGCCGTTCAACCAATCAGAGTTCTTGAATCTATCCAGCCCCTACCAATCAGAATGCTTGTACTGTCTCCATTTAACCTTTTAGCCAATCAGAACTCTTTCATTTGTCAAGCAGTTCAGCTAATTAAAAACATTGACATCTTTCCAGTCCTTCGGCAAATTAGAACACCTTCATCGGTCCAGCCACTCAACCAATCAGAATTCTTGTATCTATCCAGCCCATACGAATCAGAATGCTTGTACTGTATTCCTCTAGCCTTTCAGCCAATCAGAAATCTTCCATCTGTCCAGCCCTTTAGCCAATCAGAACGCTCGGTTCTATTTAGCTTCAACCAATCCGAATACTTGTATTGTATTCGTCTAATCTTTTAGCCAATCAGAACTGTTTCATCTGTCCAGGCCTTTAACCAATCAGAACGCTCATATCTATCCAGACTTAACCAATCAGATCACTTGTATTGTATTCGTCTAATCTTTCAGCCAAACTGTCCAGCCCTTCAACCAATCAGTACATAGGTTCTATCCAGCCCCTACCAATCAGAATGCTTTTATTGTATCCATCTAACACTTCAGCCAATCAAAACTCTTTCATCTGTTCAGCACTTCAACCAATCAGAACGCTCAGTTCTATCCAGCCCCAACCATTCAAAATGCTTGTACTGTATCCCTCTAACCTTTCAGCCAATCAGAACGCTTTAATCTGACCAGTACTTCAGCCAATCAGAACGCTCTGTTCTATCCAGTCTCACCCAATCAGAATGCGTGTATTGTATCCGTCTAAGTTTCAGCCAATCAGAAAACTTTGATCTGTTCAGCCCTTCAGCCAATCAGAACGTTTAGTTCTATCCAGCCCTAATCAGAATGCTTGTAATTCATTACAGATAGAAACCACAAGCAATCCTCTAACAACCATCAAGAACACCCTAGCAACAAAATTTCAACAAAGCAGGATATCATAGCAATCACTTAGCAATCACCTAGACACTTCATGCAACATGCTAGTACCCACCTACATCATCAAAAAGGATGCATGTAAAAGGCAGGTGAAAACTGACGAGGGTCTGCTTGTGATGGGATTGACCACATCTCAGTGTAAGAGTAAAGTGAGCGTGAGCCTGGGCGATTCACTGGCTCTGGTGTTGTGGGTGCAGGGGCTGTTTGGTGGCCGGCGGCGGGAGGATCTGCTAGCGGCGCTGGCGGCTCAGGGACAGACACAGGTGCCTGTGGTGCCCGCCGCCACTCCTGTGCCCCTGCAGTACAGCGACCTGAAGGCGGCGCTGGATAAAGAGCGAGCCCGATGCTCCGAGCTGGAGGACGCCCTGCAGAAAACACGCCTGGAGCTCAGAGAAGGTGCAAACTATTGTTGTAAAGTCCACAGGAAATCAAAAATTTTATGTCTATTTTGCAAGGGTGTACAGTGCATCCGCAAAGTATTGATAGCGCTTCACTTTTTCCACATTTGTTTATGTTACAGCCTTAATCCAAAATGGATTAAATTCATTTATTTCCTCTGAATTCTACACACAATAACCCATAATGACAATGTGAAAAAAGAGTTTTTTAAATTGTTGCAAATTGATTAAAAATAGTAAAGCTGAAAAATCAGATGTACATCAGTATTCACAGCCTTTACAGTGAAGCTGTAAATAGAGCTCAGGTTCATTCTGTTTCCACTGATCATTCTTGAGATGTTTCAGCAGCTTCAATGGAGTTCACCTGTGGTCAATTCAGTTGATTGGACATGATTTGTAAAGGCACTTACCTGTCTATATAAGCTCCCAGGGTTGACAGTGCATGTCAAAGCACAAACCAAGCATGAAGACAAAGGAATTGTCTGTAGACCTCCGAGACAGGATTGCCTCGAGGCACAAGGCTGGGGAAGCTTACAGAAACATTTCTGCTGCTCTGAAAGTCCCAAATGAGCACAGTCACCTCCATCATTCACAAGTGGAAGATGTTTAACCACCAGGACTCTTCCTAGAGCTGGTCGGCCATCTAAGCTGAGTGATCGGGGGAGAAGGGCCTTAGTCAGGGAGGTGATCAATAAACCCAATGGTCACTCTATCTGAGCTTCAGCGTTCTTTTGTGGAGAGCGGAGAACTTTACAGAAGGACAACCATCTGTGCAGCAATTCACCAATCAGGCCTGTATGGTTGAGTGGCCAGACGGAAACCACACTCCACCTGGAATTTGCCAAAAAGCATCTGAAGAAATCTCAGACCATAAGAAACTAAATTCTCTGGTCTGATGAGACTCAAATTGAACTCTTTGGAGTGAATGCCAGACGTTACGTTTGGAGAAAACCAGGCAGCGCTTATCACTAGGCTAATTGCATCCCTACAGTGAAGCATGGTGGTGGCAGCATCATGCTGTGGGGATGTTTTTCAGCAGCAGGAACTGGAAGACTAGTCAGGATAGAGGGACAGATGAATGCAGCGATGAACAGAGACATCCTGAATGAAAACCTGCTTCAGAGTGCTCTTGACCTCAGACTGGGACGACGGTTCATCTTCCAGCAGGACAATGACCCAAAGCACAACGCCAAAATATCAATGAAGTTATTTCACAACAACTCGGTGAATGTCCTTGAGTGGCCTAGCCAGAGCCCAGACCTAAATCCTATTGAACATCTCTGGAGAGATCTGAAAATGGCTGTACACTGTCGCTTTTCATCCAACCTGATAGAGCTTGAGAGGTACTGCAAAGAGGAATGGGCAAAAATTCCCAAAGACAGGTGAGCCAAGCTTGTGGCATCATATTCAAAAAGACTTGAGGCTGTAATCGCTGCCAAAGGTGCATCAACAAAGTATTGAGCAAAGGCTGTGAATACTGATGTACAATCTGATTTTTCAGCTTTTTTATTTTAAATAAATTTTTAACAATTTCAAAAAACTCTTTTTTTCAGATTGTCATTATGGGCTATTGTGTGTAGAATGTTGAGGAAATAAATTAATTTAATCCATTTTTAAATAAGGCTGTAACATAAAAAATGTCAAATCAATACTTTCCTGATGCATTGTATATTGTTAAGTCGCCTTTACACTGCACACGACAAGCAACAGACCGGAAGTCATTCATTTCCAATGAAGAGTAGTCCTGGAGCTTTGTGGAGTTCCGATCATCTCCGTATACAAAAATTCGGATTCGATTTGAGCTGCGGATAAGTTAAAATATTTGAACTCCTGCGACTAGACCGTATGCGACTGGCAACTGGATGTGATGTATTCCAGTGTTGTTCAAGCAGGTCTGTGCTCACTACATGAGAAATAGTTGTTTTTCTATTTTTTTAGCAAAAAAAGTCTGTATTTCAAAAAATTTATATTTCTAAATAATTAATAAAAATATGTTTTTTTTAATGTTGTCTCCACATTCCCTCAAAATTTTTAGTGATCTATGAGTTTGTAGTATTCATTCATTTAACCATGGTAAACGCACAGAGAATAATTGCTCTTGCTTTTGCACCTCTTTATTTCAGGCACCAGGAGAATCATCTTCTCTTCTATGGTGCACGACAAAACTGAAAGTTTTGTGCGACTGCCTCAAGGGGATGTATTGCGACAGTCATGTAGGAATGTCAAGTGCAGTAGAAAGGCGGCTTTAGTCTAATGTTGAGCAGTTAATTCATGCAAGTTAATCCACTGAAAAAAATGTTGGTACTCTATAAAGGGGACCTGTTATGCCCCTTTTTAAAAAGATGTAAAATAAGTATCTGATGTCCCTAGATGTGTACGTGTCAGCTAAAAATACCACACAAATAATGTTTTAGAACTCTCTGTAACTGACCCTTTTAGGCTTTGATCCTAATTGTGCCATTTTGGTGACTGTCGCTTTAAATTTTAATAAGATTGTGCTGTTTTTAAAAGAGGGAGGAGCTACAGATGCCTCGGTGTCAGCATAGTGGCAGATTCAAAACCAAGACTCATGTCCTATGCTAATGAGGGAGAGATGGTCACTAGTGGGCGGGGCTTTTCCTCGCTGATGACACGTCCAAAGGGAGAATATTAATCAAAGTGTTCCTGCAGACTGTTTTAATCAAGTGTGATTATAATAAATTTAATAAATCTAAATCTTTACTATTGCTAGCTGGTTATAGTCACAGTCTGTTGCCACATGACTGTGTTTAAACTCCTTATAAAAGTGATTTTTGCATAATAGGGCCACTTTAGATTAATATCTGAGCATCTGGGCTGTGGGTCTGACTGTATGTTCTCTGCTCTGCAGTTCAGTTTAATAAAGCTCTGGAGCACAGCTCTTCTCCAGCCACTCCAGGTTTGGCCCGTCAGCAGCTCATGATGTCCACCAAGTCCAACAAGTCTCCAGAGCACCAGTCCAGCGGCGGCCTGATGTCCTCAAACTCCAGCCGCGGACGCAAAGACAACGCCAATCCTGAAGGTCAGAGTGGAAACACACAGACCTTTTCAATATTCACAACAAAACCAAGGCCCTGTTTACACTAATACATTTTAGTTTTAAAGCGCATACGTTTTGCTAAGGTTACACAATGAATCCACACTACACCTGAGTTTTTGAAAGCCGAAAACAGAGCTTTTTAACAACGCTGAAGAGGCTGTTTTCATTTTAAAATGCTGCTGCTCTGTCAAAATGTGGATAGGGGAAAAACTGAGACATCTGAAAACGGAGTCATGGCTGATTGGAGCTTTTTCCTCAATATTAAGTAGCCTACACAAAGTTCAGACTTCGCATGTTTGATATGGAAAACAAACTCCAGAGGACACCTCAGGTAAATTGTTTGCTCGTCTGCGAAACGTCAATTATCCTCAATCCTCAAAACAGTCATATAGCGGTGCGTGACTGTCAGCTGACGCGCTCCATAGTGCTAAAGAGACGCTGTTTCCCAAACAGATTCTGTACACGCAATTTAAATCGGAGCAAAAGTCTGGCTTTTGGGTGCGTGTTTGAACAGACATATACACATAATTAATGATAATAATATCTAAAGATATTGATCTTAGTGGATTTTATTTCAATCACAATTAATTTTGTCCTAAATGAGCATAAAAAGTCAGGAAAGCAGTCGAATGCTTTCATTTTAATGTTAGATGTGTGCGTTTTTAAAGCGACACCTCTGTTGTTTAATGTAATCAAACGAAAAATCCAAATAAAGAAGAGATTCGATCGTTGCTAAGTTAAACATTGAAAAAAACGGCTAATGAGATTTGATAGCTTAATTCTATTTCTTAATAACAGCTATTAATTTTAATAAGCTGAACAGTTTGCAAATTTATTTGCTGCTAATGTATACTATTAATTTTTTCTTTTATAATAATAACAATAAAACATATTACTGACCATTTAACTGTTTATTTATTATGTTTATTATGTTTACTTATTATGGTGTGCATATCCCTTATTTTCACATCCCAATGTTGACAGGTATGGTGTAGCTGCATATTATTATGACCGTCATCCTCACTGTATGCTTATTAATAACAAAACGGAGTCTATAGCATAACTGCCACCTTGATAAGATGAATTAAATATCACGTTTAATAAATATAGTGAGATTGGATCAAGCGGTAGATTCTTGATGAACTATCCGACGTGCACATCTTTTACCCGGGGAGTTCTGCTCAAAGCACCCACTGACTGCCTGGAGCTCAGACGTGCGCATAACAGAGTGTATGTATGGTCACGTGATGTGCGTTTTGAGTGGTATAATGTGAACGGAGAGTTGTTCAGAAATGCTTGGGGAAACGCTAGTGTTGACGTAGATCGTTTTCATTCTAAAACGTCGTATTAAAACTAAAACGCATTCATGTAAACGGGGCCTGAATTGACTATTGTGTTCTTACTACCGTTTCCTCTTACGCTTAGAAGAATAAATATTAAAGGCACAATATGTAAGATTTTGTCTTATTTAAATGTCGAAAAGCCACTAGAACTGTAACATATGTACTTGCGGTTTTAACTAGTGAGATGGAGTGCGTGCTGTGTGTTCATGCTAATTATGTTTTTACGATTGTTTTTGAACTTCCAATTCAGTGGCCTACGGGAGAAATGACTAGCAATAAATATTAGAAAGCTGTCAAACTACTCGCTCTACAAACATGTGTGCTCATGACTAAGCAGAACAATATAATAAAAAAATGTCAGTTTGCACCATCAAGCAGGAGAACGAGCTGTTTTTAACATCTAAATATCAATGGAAGTGAATGAGACCGGAAGCCGAAAATATTTCAATGGTTGCTATCGCCCGTACGTCAAGAATAAGGTCACTAGAAAACAGTAAAACAGCAGTGATGCTTTAATATGTTGTGTGTTTATTTGGACTGTACAAAGCGGCATTATAACAGAAGTCTGAAATGTTTTTAGTCTGATAAAACAGAGCTGCTTCTTCTTGAGCTGAAGTACAGAAAGCGCTGGGCTGTGGTTTAATGCTGTTTTTGTGATGCTTCCACAGCTTTCAGCCTTACTGTGCTTCATACTAGCATGATAGTAAGTGTTGAATACTTTAATCATCAACATGAGTCCTGTAGGATAATGAAGACCATGATTCAAAATATGCCTTTGTTTGTTGCAAATAGACGCCCTCTGGTGGTGAAAATTACATATTGTGCCTTTAAATTATTAAGGGGGAAAACTTCTTTATTAGTGTTTGAAAATGATGAGACTGTCTGAAGGACTCCAGACTGACCGTACGTATTTGCAGCAGATGTTTTGGCTCTTATCTGTTCGTTCTCACTGTCCTCTTTGTTGTCGTTTCACAGAAATAAGGAGAGTCACTTCTGAAAGTAAGTTCTTACATAACAGGTTCAGGCGGCCCACTCTCCTGAAACTCTGCCATTTGTGTCTCAACTATAAGGAGTTTTATTTTATTTATCTTTGTTTGTTTATTTATTTATTTATAGTCTCATTTCAAACAGTTACTGCTGAAGCTTGACTGCTGACGTATAAAACATTTCCTCTCATATGATTTAAAAAAGGGAAATGTGTCAGCATAATGAACTTTAAAAGTAAGAAGTCCAAAATAAACACTTTGTATACATTAGACAAAGTTATTGGCTCAAATATTTCTTAAAAGCTGTTTAACACAGGATTTTTACAACACATTTTTTTTCCAACTCATTTCTAATAACAAATTTTTTTTTTTTTTGCCATGATGACAGTACTTAATATTTTACTACTTATTTTGCAAGATTCTAGTATTCAGCTTAAAGTGACATTTAAAGGCTTAACTTGGTTAATTGGCGAAAGTCATTGGGCAACAGTGGTTCCCCCCACACACAGTGGGGAAAATAAGCACTGAACACAGCATGTTTTTCCCCCTGGGAATAAAAGAGCTGTTGACATTTTGGTAAAAACAAACATAAAAACGAAACAAAACAATCTAAAATATGACTTACAGTGCATCTGGAAAGTATTGATAGCGCTTCACTTTTTCTACATGTTTTTTTTTTGGTTAGAGCCTTTTTGCAAATTGGATTAAATTCATTTATATAACATTCTACACACAATAGCCCATAATGACAATGTGACCAAAAAGACTTTTTGAAATTGTAGCAAATTTATTTAAAATAAAAAAGCTGAAAAATCAGATGTACATCAGTATTCACGGCCTTTGCTCAATACGTTGTTGATGCACCTTTGGCAGCGATTACAGCCTCAAGTCTTTTTGAAAATGATGCCACAAGCTTTGCTCACCTGTCTCTGGAAATTTTTGCCCATTCCTTTTTGCAGAACCTCTCAAGCTTTATCAGGTTGGATGGGAAGCGACAGTGTACAGCCATTTTCAGATCCCTCCAGAGATGTTCAATAGGATTTAGGTCTGGGCTCTGGCCAGGCCACTCAAGGACATTCACCGAGTTGTTGTGAAATAACTTCATTGATATTTTGTTGGTGTGCTTTGGGTCATTGTCCTGCTGGAAGATGAACCGTCACCCCAGTCTGAGGTCAAGAGCACTCTGAAGCAGGTTTTCATTCAGGATGTCTCTGTTCATCGCTGCATTCATCTTTCCCTCTATCCTGACTAGTCTTCCAGTTCCTGCTGCTGAAAAACATCCCCACAGCATGATGCCGCCACCACCATGCTTCACTGTAGGGATGCAATTAGCCTGGTGATAAGCGCTGCCTGGTTTTCTCTAAACGTAACGTCTGGCATTCACTCCAAAGAGTTCAATTTGAGTCTCATCAGACCAGAGAATTTAGTTTCTTATGGTCTGAGAGTCCTTCAGATGCTTTTTGGCAAATTCCAGGTGGAGTGTGGTTTCCGTCTGGCCAGTCTGATCATCGGGTTATTGATCAGCGCCTTGACTAAGGCCCTTCTCTCCCGATCACTTAGCTTAGATGGCCGACCAGCTCTAGGAAGTTCTAGGAGTCCTGGTGGTTACAAACATCTTCCACTTTTGGATGATGGAGGCCACTGTGCTCATTGGAACTTTCAGAGCAGCAGAATTTTTTTCTGTAACCTTCCCTCAACAATCCTGTTTCGGAGGTCTACAGACAATTCCTTTGTCTTCATGCTTGGTTTGTGTTTTGACATGCAGTGTCAACCCTGGGAGCTTATATAGACAGGTGTACGCCTTTTCAAATCATGTCCAATCAACTGAATTGACCACAGGTGAACTCCATTAAAGCTGCTGAAACATCTCAAGAATGATCAGTGGAAACAGAATGAACCTGAGCTCTATTTACAGCTTCACTGTAAAGGCTGTGAATACTGATGTACATCTGATTTTTCAGCTTTTTTTATTTTTAATAAATTTACAACAATTTTAAAAACTCTTTTTTCCACATTGTCATTATGGGATATTGTCTGTATTTGAATGTTGAGGAAATAAATGAATTTAATCAATTTTGAAATAAGGCTGTAACATACACAAATTGTGGAAAAAGTGAAGCGCTATCAATACTTTCTTGATGCACTGTATGTGTATAACATAAAACAGCTATAGAAAAAATACCCCTTTACAGTTGCTTTGGATTTATGGTGTATTTGTATGTAAGAAAAACATAATTTTTTTTTCATTTTGTAAACTACTAAACATAATTCTTCCAAATTTAAAATATAAAATGTTGTCATGAGCATGTTTTGCTGCATAAAATAACAAATAATGTAGTATTTTCAGACATGCTAATGTTAATTTTTAGAAAACGTAATTCCAATGTTATAACGTACAAAAAACACAGATTTTTGTTATGAAATCTTAAGCTAATTGACAATATAAAAGACAAGCTGAATGACAATGTGTGTATTTGAAGTTTGGAAGACTGTATTCAGTCATCGGGACACAAATGCAGGTGTTTCCTGAGAATGATCCAGGCGTCTCTCCTTTACTTGTATTTATTCTCTTCTTTTTCTTGATATGATCTTTTTATCCCTGCAGAGATAAGCTCTCTGGCCTAATCTAAACATGTCCCTTTAGCTAGTGGACGTCCTTCACTCAATAGTGTGTTATCAGGTCATCTTGGTTTGATGGCCGCAGACTTTCACTCAGGACAGCACTGAATGCTTGTGAATCTCCAAAGCTCCTGCATGCAGATCCATCCGGACACTGAGCTTATCTCGAATATATGGCTATACTCCTGCTGTATGCCATGCCCAATGCAGGAACTCTGAAACCCTTGCATGCTTGTACCCAAGCCAATACGAGAGCTTGTAGTGTACAGTGATGCAGAGAAATGTTCTCAGGAGAGGACATTTTCAGCTTGCTTTGGCCTGTTTGCATTATTTAAGTATAAACACTATACAATGCACAAGACTGATTTTGTGTGTGTGTGTGTGTGTGTGTGTGTGTGTGTGTGTGTGTGTGTGTGTGTGTGTGTGTTTGATTGTGTAGAGTACACCAGACGTGTGAAGGACCGGATTCATCACAACACTCCTCACCGCTTCACGCAGGGGCTCAATATGAGAGCGGCTCGCTGTACTGTGTGTCTGGACACAGTCCATTTTGGACGTCAGGCTGCAACATGCATTGGTATGGATCACGTAAACATATGCTGTCAGTATACTTTGAAAGTAGGGGATGTCACTTTTTTCATGCTGTTAAAAAACAACCTAGAGCGCCATCTGCTGTTAAAAACTAACCTAGAGCACTATCTGCGATTAAAAATTAGCCTAGAGCTCCACCTGCTGTTTAAATCTAACCTAGAGCACCATCTGTGTTAAAAACTAGCCTAGAGCGCCATCTGCTGTTAAAAACTAGCCTAGAGCGCCATCTGCTGTTAAAAACTAGCCAAGAGCTCCACCTGCTGTTTAAATCTAGCCTAGAGCACCATCTGTGTTAAAAACTAGTCTAGAGTGCCACCTGCTGTTTAAAACTAGCCTAGAGCCCCATCTGTGTTAAAAAATAGCCTAGAGTGCCATCTGCTGTTTAAAAATAGCCTAGAGCACAATCTTTGTTAAAAACTAGCCTAGATCACCATCTGCTGTTAAAAACTAGTCAAGCGCGCCATATGCTATTAAAAAAAACTAGCCTAGCGCGCCATATGCGATTAAAAAAACTAGCCTAGAGCACCATATGCTGTTAAAAACTAACCTAGATCGCTATATACTATTAAAAAAACGAGCCTAGAGCGGCAAAAACTAGCCTAGATCTGTTGTTAAAAGCTTTGTCTGCTGGTAAAAACTAGCTTAAATCACCATCTACTGTTAAAAACTAGCCTACAGCACCACCTGCTGTTAGAAAAAATAGCTTAGATTGCTATCTGCTGTTAGAAACTATCCTAGAGCTCCACCTGCTGTTATAAACTAGCTTAGAACATCACACACTGTTAAAAAAAAATAGCCCAGATCAGTCTGTTGTTAAAAAAACAGTCTAGATTGCCACCTACTGTTAACAACTAGCCTAGAGTGCCATCGGCTATTAAAAACTAGCCTAGTGCTCCACCTGCTTTTAAATACAAGCCTAGAGCTCCCTCTGCTGTTACAAAATAGCCTAGAGTGCTATCAGCTGTTAAAAAACTAGCTTAGATTGCCATCTACTGTTAACAACTAGCCTAGAGTGCCACCTGCTGTTAAAAAATGAGCCCAGATCACAGTTTGTTGTTTAAAAAAACTAGCCTAGAGTGCTGTCTGCTGCTAAAGACTAGCTTAGATTGCCACCTGCTGTTATAAACTAGCCTAGAGCTCCATCTGCTGTTAAAAACTAGCCTAGATTGCTATATGCTGCTAAAAACTAGCTTGGATTGCCACCTGCTGTTATAAACTAGCCTAGAGCTCCATCTGCTGTTAGTATAGAGCTCCATTTGCTGTTAAAAACTAACCTAGAGCGCCATCTGCTGTTAAAACTAGCCTAGAGCGCCATCTGCTGGTAAAAACTAGCCTAGAGCTCCATCTGCTGTTAAAAACTAGCCTAGAGCTCCCTCTGCTGTTACAAAATAGCCTAGAGTGCTATCAGCTGTAAAAAAAACTAGCTTAGATTGCCATCTACTGTTAACAACTAGCCTAGAGTGCCACCTGCTGTTAAAAAATTAGCCCAGATCAGTTTGTTGTTTAAAAAAACTAGCCTAGAGTGCTGTCTGCTGCTAAAAACTAGCTTAGATTGCCACCTGCTGTTATAATCTAGCCTAGAGCTCCATCTGCTGTTAAAAACTAGCCTAGATTGCTATATGCTGCTAAAAACTAGCTTGGATTGCCACCTGCTGTTATAAACTAGCCTAGAGCTCCATCTGCTGTTAAAAACTAGCCTAGATTGCTATATGCTGCTAAAAACTAGCTTGGATTGCCACCTGCTGTTATAAACTAGCCTAGAGCTCCATCTGCTGTTAGTATAGAGCTCCATCTGCTGTTAAAAACTAGCCTAGAGCTCCATCTGCTGTTAGTATAGAGCGCCATCTGCTGTTAAAAACTAGCCTAGAGAACTGTCTGCTGTTCAAAAACCAGCCTAGAGCTCCATCTGCTGTTATAAACTAGCATAGAGCTCCATCTGCTGTTATAAACTAGCCTAGAGCTCCATCTGCTGTTAGCCTACATTGCCCCCTGCTGTTAGAAACTAGCCTAAATCACAATCTAATGTTGAAAACTAGCCTAGAGTGCCATCTGCTGATGAGGAAATGCCAAATATTTTTTCTCCACAGCTGTATTGTAGGAGCTGAAATAAGTTGATCATGTTTGCGTGTTGATCTTCTCTCTCCTCCTGAAGAATGTCACGCGTTGTGTCACCCAAAATGCTCCCCGTACCTCCCTGCCACCTGCGGCGTTCCCACTGAATACGCGCTGCACCTCTCAGAGGCTCTGTGTCGGGAGAAGGGAAGCACTTCCGGCCTGAAAGATATGGGTGGACATATGAGGCTTGAAGGATGGCTGAAGCAGCCCAGGTGAGAGACACACCTGGCATGATCACAAACACTAATGTCAGATGAGAAGAAAACATCAAGTGAATATGGAAATGTGTTTGTTTTCCTGCAGGAACGGGAAGCGCGGGCAGGGCTGGGAGAGGAAGTATGTGGTGCTGGATGGATATAAAGTGATTACATTCGAGACAGAACCAAGAGACGGTCTGTGAACACTTGTTTACATTGCATTGGTTTTGTTTTCTTATAGCATGTTGGGAAAAAAATACAAAATAAAATTTCATAACAAGAAAAGTAAACAAACCTACGGTGGCCGGGAAGTGCAAAACAACATTACAAAGCGTGAAACACTTTTACAAAGCTCGAGACAAATTTACATTTTAAAAAACATTTTTACCTATGGGCGAGGCAGTGTTGTCGCCTCACAGCAAGAAGGTCGCTGGGTTGCTGGTTCGAACCTCGGCTCAGTTGGCGTTTCTGTGTGGAGTTTGCATGTTCTCCCTACCTTCGCGTGGGTTTCCCCCAGGTGCTCCGGTTCCCCCACAGTCCAAAGACTGTATATATATATATATATATATATATATATATATATATATA